TACTACTTCATGATCGTGTCATTCAACACTTTTGGCCTTGCCTTGTGAACAAGAAAAAAAGTGTTCATTACCTGTATTTGATCTTTGTAGGAGATGGCAGGTCTCTGCTTGAATGCTGCTTTGAGAGTTGGCTCAAATCACCTTCTCCTTTTCCTATTCTGCCTCTTGCAGGTTCAAAAGTTGGCCTAGCTGCTGTAATCTTTTACACTTTGAAGGAAAATAGTATCTAGTTATTCCCAATATGATAAACTTTCATTATATAAAGTATTGACAAATATCCAACTTGTGAAATCACTTCCAAAACTCGTTCTCCAAATTTTACTTTCACCTCAAACAAAAGGTCTCAAGAAAACAAATAATGAGTCTCAGGAATACAGGAATACAACTTCTTAAGCAGTTCTTAATTAGTGCAAACAATTCTGTCGTGAAGATGAGCTTGTTTCTTGTTCTCCTTCTGGCTCTGTGGCCCTGGGCAAGTTACCCAATGTAGGTTCCTGTGGAATGGGGATATTCCTAATGGGATTACTGTAAGAATTATTAGACTTGACATATCAAAGCCTTGTAAAATTCAGTGCAGCCATGCCTGAGTTTTAAAAATTCTCAACTCAACCTTACTCCACCAGACTCTCTAAAGTTTGCACCTCACACAACAGAAAATAGGCTACAAAAACAAAAAAAAAATACTTTGAAAATCCCTGGACAAAGTTACTGTCTTGGAGAAAAACGTGCTAAATTTCAATGACAGTTACATAGGCAAAATTCTCCAACAACTTTTTGTTGATGCAATCTTCTCCTACAAAAACCATCGTTAATAAAAATCTTGTATTTTACAGGTTATAATTTACTGAATGTCCAAAAGACAGGAACCTCACCCTAAATGATTCTGTTAACCAAAAGTCTTCATGGTATTTCTGGGTTTGAGCAGCCAAAAGGGTACCGCACAGCAGATACAGCTCCCCAAACCCGTGAAATGTTGGAAAAGCAAGTGTGTGAGAAAGCTGGGGGAACTGGTTTACTTCCCTAGATTTTTCACAACAGGAGGGATGTATCCAGAGAGGGAGACACAGGGTTTTCTGTCCCGGGGACACCGCTGCCTCCCACGGACACTCCACCGGCGAATAATCATCACTCCCGCCTCGGGGCCGGGAGCCTTCGGGCTGTCCCCGGGGGTCTCCGCTCCTCCCCAAGGCCCGACCCGCTGTGGAGCGAGGCCGGCCAACCCCGCTTAGCCGCGCGCACAGCTACCTTCCCGCGGCGCGGCGCACGACAGCCGCCGGGCTCCGCCGCTGCCGCCGCCGCGTTCCACCGCTGCCCGCAGCTCCAGAGCATCCGTCAGCCAACCCCGAACCCACCGAACTTTCCGCCTTACGTGGACAATAGATTCCGCCAGCTTCCGGCCGCTCACATTGGCAGAGGTCCCACGCAGCGACCGCCGCACCTCACGCAGACACCATGACGACTCGCGACTCCCAGGAACCCCTGCGCCAAAGCCCAAGACCCGGGAGCAAACCCGGGCTCTTCAAACGCACGTCATAGGCGGAGGGAGCCACCAACCCGCGGAAGCCAAGCTGTACGTTGGCATGACGACGGTGGGGCCCGAGCCTAGGCGTTCGACTGGGCGGGCGTTTGAAACCAGTGCTTCAGAGTAGACAGTGCTTAATTTAAGGTCTCTCCCGTCTTTTCCTTTCCCGACCCCCTCCTAGACTCCTTCGTGGACGGAAAGCTCCAGGTAGCCGACTCCACATCCCGGCCAGCGACAGAGAGCCACCGGCTCCTGCTTCGTTTCTGCTGAGCCTAGAGAGTTGGCGAGCCTAGAGGGTTGGGCTACGGAATAACTAGTATTTTCATTTAATTGGATTTGAAGAAAGAACAAATATATACGGGGGCAACCACGATCTTTATAAAGGTACCATTCCTGCAAAAATATTAGTCTTCAAAGCAAAGGTTATATTTGTATTGTTGGTTAAAAGTTTTACTTTTAAAGAAACCTAAGTTCTGGGAGGGGAGGTGTCACTATTGGAGATTCTTTTATTAACGCGACATGGAGCACCCAGAACGGTGGGCCCAACTGCCAGGAGCAGGAACGATTCCACTGTGCTGTCTTTGCTCTGCTGCCTGTGTCCCACGAGAACAGATCACCATCCTTCAGGTCTCAGCTCAGATGTCACCTACATGAGTTTTTCCCTCATATCTACATTTTCACCTCCAACACAAAAATACTGTCGCATCACCCTTTATTATTTTTTCATAGTACTAAACAATCCTGAACTTAACTCTGTTCATTGTTTACTGCCATTTTACTTGTCTGAGAGGAAGCATAGCAGAGTCATTGAGAAAGAGTTCTACAGTCTGACTCTCGGTTTGAAATTCCAGCTCTGCCCTCTGCTAGCTCTGTGACCTTAGGCAGGTTATTTACCTTTTCTGTACCCTAAGTTTCCTTATGTACAAAATGAAGATATTTCTAGTCTCTACCTTACAATGCTGTAAGAATTAAATGAATACTTATAAAGTGCTTAAAACTGTCTCAACAAACAATACCTGCTAAATGTTGGCTGTTATTAATATTATTTTATTATTATTGTCTATCTTCCTGTATTAGAACGCAAGTTCCAGGAAAACAGGAACCTTATCTCTTGTTCATCTGTGTATATCCTCCGCATATAGAACAGTGCGTGGCACATAATAGGTGCTGAGTATTTGTTGAATGAATGAATGAATCATGCACTATGAAGTGGAGAAATGAAGTAATAATGACAAGGTTCTGACACCATTACAGAAAATACCCTTGGTTTTTATTCCAGTGGCCTTTATCAGCTCTGAATTCATGACCCTGATTCATTTAACATCTAGCCCACCACCTAATCTTTTGATAACCAACCATGATTAAATAACCACTCCTGTAATTTCATTAATTCATTAATTTCATATTAGTCCACGAAATTTAAAGCTTTGACTTAATGGTCTGAAAGTATTAATAAAAGATAAGAATATTAAAGTGTTAATAAGTATTAAGTAAACAGTTTATGTTACGTGATTTAAAGTACTAATAAGAAAACTACAAAGCTTGTGGCTTAAATGTTTTGAAAGTATTAGAAAAAGAAACTAAAATTAAGTTTACTAAAAACTTAAAATTCATCCTATCAGCTGCCTTTGCTGGCAAAAATCTTATATAACCTCCCAAGAATTCTCATTTTAAACCCATTAATACAAAAATCTCTTTGAGCCCTTAATTCTCCAGCTAATCCTCTTATACTCTTAATTTTTTATTCCCACTCTGCAATAATATGATTTCCCACATTCCCCTTTGCTCAAGTCCACCCCCTCTTCCACCCACTTTTCCCTCCTGACCCTCTTTCCCGGGAGTTGATGATGCTCTGACTTCTCTGGGAAAAGAAGCTCTTCAACAAGGACTACTTATCTCCCCCAGGCAAACCTACCAAGCTGCCTTTGAGTTTGCCCAAACCCTCAGTTTTCCATGTGTGGTGACCCCAAACCCTCTCCTCTGTTCTCTGGATTCCAAGTTCTCTGGCTTTCCTAGTAACTGGCGTCCTGCTGTATTTCCTGTCTTTCATTGTCTGTGAATCCATCCCCTTCAGATCATTCTTCCAGCTTTTGTATATGCTGTAGTATATCTTAGCCTTAAAAAATGCTCCTTCAAAAAGAAAAAGAAGAAAAAAAATGTAGCCTAAACATGCCTACAAGGGAAGCTTCACAAAAGAGAATGAATAAATCATTAGGCAACTGTCAAAAAAAAATGCCCCTTTATTTTAATATGACACCGTTACTATTTTAATCAATGTAAAAAGGATATTTTATATAATAGCTGTGATTACAAAACTGAATATTCTTATGGCAGGATGTAGGAATTCCAGCTTCAACACTTATACAAACACTGTGTCCAGTAGAATTAAACATCCAAAAGAAAAACTATAAAAATTTAAAAAGGAAATTTAAGGGACTATTTGTACAACCTAGGGTTTGTAAAGACCTTTCGATCAAGATAAGACACCTAAGAGCATAAAAGAAAGAATTTAAAACTTTTATCTTTATAAAAATTTAATTTTATGGCAGAAGATGCCCCAAATTAAGTCAAAAGATAAATATTAAATCAGCAGGTAAATGCTGTTATGCCTATAACATAAAACTTTACTACTACTAGTACTATTACTAATAATAAATACAACCCAGTAAAAAAATAGGCAAAGAATATAAAGAAGCCATCCAGAAACAGCAATTCCAAATAGACAACAAACATAAGACACTCAACTTCCCTATTAAGAAAATGAGAGAAATCTAACAATGAATTACCATATTACAGCATCAAATTGGCAATAATTCTTTTAAATTAATATTATTGAATGGGATTGGGAGAAAGGGGGATAGAGTCAGACAGTGGGAAGGCATTGGCTCCCCATTCCCCTTACAGTAAAAGTCAAAAGACTCACACCAACCTCCAAGACTCCCCTGTCTAGTTGACTTCCTGTGTTGCTTGTGCCTCTCTTGGTGGTGTCTGAATATGGCTCCTGTCTTAGGGCCTTTGCACTAGCCATTTCCTCAGCCAAGAATACTCTTACCTGTCTTACTCAAGTCTTTGTTCAAATCAAGTCAACCAACCATGACAGCCCTATTTAAAGTTTCAGCCATCCTCTACCTTGGTCCCAAACCTCCTGCACTCCTTATCTCCTTTAACCTGTCCTACTTTTCTTTTTTGTGTAGCACATATCATCCATGATCCTGTATAGTATGATCCTTACTCAATCCTATATAAATTTGTTATATGATTTCTTTCTCTGTTTCATAAAGAATATAAATTCTACAAATGCAAGCATCTTTGTATTGCCCAGTGATGTAAGCCAAGCATATGAGACAGTGCCTAGCACCAATAGGTGCCTATAACGATTTTCAAATGAGTGAATGAGTGAATGAATGAATGAGTTTTAACAGAAAAAAGTCGCATTTTTATGTAAAAAGTTATTGTCTTAATCTCTTTTATATTTTAAAGGAAAAACATAATTAACGTTCTGCTAGTCTGAAATTCAGATTTGCAGTAAAGATATGGCCAAGACACAGAAAGATGATTTCTTTTCAGGTAAGAATCTCTAAATGAAAATCATGTTACCATCAAAATTCTAATTCAGCCAGCCCTACCCTGAATCCAGTCTCTTCTAATTGAATCACTTTCTCCAATTCCGGTAAACCCTTTCATTACAAAGTTACCAGCCCACAAAATGTGAACATTTTGCTTGAGGCTTTTAGTAAATAAATGGAGGAAAAAAACTCAATGCTCACAAGTTAGAAATTACACTTTAAGTAGTATAAATGATAGCATCTGTTCTATTTTTAATCTAAAAATGATTAATTTTCTAATATAAAAAGCTGGTGCTTTAATCTATTTTGATAAGTGAAAAAAATAGAAAAATAAAGTAGCTTGCCTTCTACCAACAAATCGTGATTTTAATTGAAGATACTCTGGGACCCAGAGAGATGTTTTCCTGGGAACAGCCTCAAAATGAAAGTTGCTGATGGTCCAGACTAGATTACTAGATAATATTATAATTTAACCACCTATTAGCCAATCCAAGCACATAGCTACCTATCACTTGCTGGCCACTCCATTATTACTAAGACAATTAAAAGCAAGCATATTCAAAAAAACAGTTAAAATGAAAGAACTAAAATAAAGAAAAATATGAAGGGATAGAAAAAGACGTACCAGACAAATACTAAAAAGCAACAAAAAACTTTGTCTAGCAAATGAATTATCAAAAGTATCCTTTGAGTAGCATTAACAAGGACATTTGTGGGGCATCTTACTGCATTCCAAAGAAAAATCTAGAAAAACATTAAATCATGAACATGTATGTAACTAGTTGCATGGTCTGGAAAAATTTGAAGCAATAATAAAGAATTAAAAGGTAAAACTGACAAATCTGTAATGGTGGGAATTTTTTTTAATGGCAATTTCTCCCAGATTAAACAAATTAGCAACATTGATGCATTGTGTGCATAGATACGTATGCTTACTTTATTTATATTTGCATATATATTTATGTCACATTTATATATGTATATAAAATCCTTCAACCAAGAGAAATATATATTCTTTTTAAAAAATGTTGGACATTCATAAAATTAACTGTAAAGCCTCCAAATAAATTTCAATAAATGCCTATGTACTCATTTCTAAATGATATGTAGTCTAATTTTTGAACTTTATATAAATGTTCAAAATGTTTATGTAAATGAATCGTATGCTTTCTTTTATGTTTTCCTTTATATAGCTGTTGTATACTATATAGAATTTAATTGGGTGAAAATACAGAGTATACTGGGCTGTTTATACTCTGCATCCTGATTCCCAACGCCAAGCTACCCCCATGAGGCCATCTGGGCCCAACAGCTTGGGAGGAAGAATGATTATTAATTTAAAAAATTATTTCCAGTTTATTCCATAGTTGTTACTTTTTTCAAGGATGTCAATTCAAATATTTTAAAATTAGCTTCCTGAAATTACCGAGTATCATTTTTCCAAGTGATAAAGATACCTCAAGACAAATGCTGGGCATAAAAGCCACAGGGCATAAATCTGCAAAGAAGTAAAAAGCTAACCTTTTCAAACAATATTGCTTCTCTCTCACTTACCAACTTTACATTTCCCTGTATGGCCCCGGAAGATGACTGGTTAGCCAGAGACGGTAAGATTCCTCAAGGGAGGAACAACCTAAGACAGGCATAGTTGCAGGGGGGCC